CACAAGAATATCATCAAAAACACCAAAATAAATTTTCTCAAGTGAAGCTGAAATACCTCATTCATTAATGATTGAAAGGTAGATGGATCGTTGGTTAGGCCAAAGGGCATGACCAAAAACTCAAAGTGCCCATGGTGAGTACGAAAACCAGTTTTCTCCACATCATCCTCTTTCATCCAAACTTGATTATAACCTTTGCGTAAGTCTAATTTAGAGAAATATTTAGCCCCAAACAACTCCAACAATTCTTTAGTTACTGGAATAAGAAATTTATCTTTGATTGTTTTTGCATTTAACTCACGCTAATCAATGCACATATGCCAAAAACCATCAGATTTAAGAACAAAAGCACTGGGGAAGAGAATGGAGACTGACTTGGCTAAATTATTCCCTTCTTCAACATCTCTGAGCATTGTCTTTCAATTTAATCCTTTTTATTATGTGGATATCTGTATGGTCGAACTACAACATGTTTTGTTCCTGGTTTCATAACAATTTTGTGGTCGCAATCACGTTTAGCAGGGAACCCTACTGGTTCATGAAAGAGGCAAGCAAAATCTTTTACCTGATTATCTTTGTCAGCCAGCATAACATGAGTTGTTGCTCCTTGAGTTTGATCAGACCGGCAAAACACCATTAGCTACAGAAATGATTTTGAGATTATTCAGGAATACACATTGAATGCTAAAATTACGCATTGAATTTCTGGTAGTAGATCCATAATAAAAAAAGTGTTTGTGATTGTTCCAGAAGAAATGAAATGTCCAATCCATTTATTTTTCTGGTATTCAAGTAGGTTAGCATATGTATTAGCATAATAATGGTAGAAATGGAATCATTTTTCTTTTTATATTCTATGCAAAATCTTATAACTTCATTAATTAGTCTAAGAAGCAGAAGTAGGTTTCTAAGGATGTTTTATCAATTTCTTTCCATTTGTATATGTTAACACCTTGTAACTCCACTTGTTTTCCATTTTTGAAGAATGACATCCACATATCTGTAAAGTCCCACGGTACGGGTCCTAAAGTTTTAAGCCAATTCACACCTAAAACCACGTCAAATCCACTTAGGTTGAGGACATATAAATCAATACGGAAAGCATAATTACCAAACCATATCGAAACTCTTCGCATTTTCCCGGACTTCTGACTCGCTCTCCATTTGCCACCACTACTCGTAACCCTTCCTGCCTCTCAACTTGAAGGTTGAATTATGACACGAATTTAGAGGTCACAAAGCTATGAGTACTTCCAGAATTGTAACCGTGTATTTTGTTGAGCTGTGACACCAATGATGGCTTGCAAAGAAATTCAGGTTGATCTATATTAGGATTTGTCTCCTGTTTCAGAGATTCTTCCTCTTCGTCTATGGAATCAATCCAGAATAATTTCTTGCACTGATGGCCCCGAGTGAAGACTTCATCACAGTTGAAGCAGAGATCCTTAAGTCTCCTTTCATCGATCTCAAATCTTATTAATTTCCTTACAAATTTGATGTGCTCTGGAGGTGATAAATCATATGTTTTGGATATGCGATCATCTAACAGTTGGAAATGGAAAGGTTGTCCCTTGCGTTCATAAAATCGGGATAAACTCATCGCCGTAGACAAATCTTGAAGAATTATGCAACTCAACCTCAATTGCTATGTAATCCACAAGACCACTAATATAAAGTTATTTTTTTTGCACCTTGTGTGAGTGTGCCAGCCCGGGAAACTAACTGCTCAAACTTTTCTTGGTAATCTTCCACGGACCCATCCCAAGACAGTTTAGGCAAATCTGTCTCTAGTTGAAGAAACCAAAGTTGGCATTTCCTCTAAATGAAAAGAAGCAAGACTAACTTTTTCTTCATTTGGAGTTTGTTGGTGTCGAAAAAAGTGATCACATCTTCTTAGCCATCCCAAAGGGTCCCCTTGGCCAATAACAGTGGAAAATCCAACTTTATATACCTGTGAATGAAAGAACTTCCTCCTGCATCTGATTTTGACCCTCCTGCCACTACGTTTTTACCCTTTGTTGATTAAAAATCAACCTTAAAAATTCGTGAGATCCTTTGTGAGCGCATCTAAGCGAGAATTTATTGCTTCCTGTCTCGCTATATTGGCTGCACGTTCTTCTTGAAATAAGTTTACTAATTGTGCCAGTTGATGTTGAATTTGATATCCCATAATACCCGTCTCTAATACCAAGTTGTTATGGTCCCTTGATATGGATCTAGTTATGGGGCGTTGTAGTGTGAAATCAAATGTTTTCTCCCTACGACCTATGATGCTGGTTCGTTAAGAGAGAACCTGCAATCACTTGAGTTTAAGTACTCAAAGGCTTAGTAATTTTCTGCATAACATTTCACTGAATTCAAATACATTGAATACAATACTATCAAATACAACACTACAACAACGAAAGTAACCGCCTACTGCCCATTGCAACTGAATGAGAAAGTGGAGGAATAATCTCCTTACTGCAACTACTACACAGGAAATGAAAACATAAATACTTAAAAGTTGTAGTAATCTACTACGAACAACTAAATAACTTATAAGCTAAAGTAATCTACTTCCTAATTTCTTTAAAAATCTCCTGTGTAAGCCGTTAGTAGACTAAAGGGGTGCAAACACAGAATGGTGGAAATGAGATAAACCACTCAAATGTTCATCACGTCTACTAAAAAATATTGAAATTCATCCCTATATGTATAGAAGAAACCTACCCCAAATAGCATGAGATTCATCAAATCCTATTTCTATGGAAATAATAAATACTAAAACCAAACTAGGAAACTTTTAAATTAGAAAATTCTAAACTAGAAAAGCATGTAAACTTTCAACATTTTACTAAACTTCTGCCTAGAATAACCTAATAAAATGAAAGGAAAGTGGCCAAATTCCCTCCATTTCACACGCCTAATTTCAGCCCTACTTTGGGCATGATTTCAGGGTTTTAACTTTCAACATTTTAGGCATGCCAATAAGCCTCTTGTTGGGCACTCCTTTGGGCTTCTCTTGGGGTCCATGTGGGCCTTCTCTTGGGCTTAATGCGACCCCAATCTTCCTCCTCTTGGACTTGAATCATGAAATACATGTAGCACGTAGTTCATTCTCTTTATAATTCTTGGGTTCTTCATCCATGATAAGCATCTCCTTGATTTTCCATTGAAACCCATCAAACTTTCATTGAGGTAAGCCACCGTGGATACTATCAATCGTACTTCTAGCTGAGGCCAATTTCGTTCACCAATTTTCAGTTGGAACATGAGAAATTTTCTTGTATAAGATGACATCTGAGAGTTATGTTTATTTGTTCATGATATATACAAGCATTGGTCTTTTACAATGGGGTCAGAGCACAATAGGGTCAGGTAGTTTTGGGCTGGGTCTTATAGCCATTAGGATCAATAAATTTGTGCCATGTGTTCAATTAAAAGCTCCACATATTCCATACCAGCTTCTGTCAAAACGAGGGGCAATTTTGTGCTTAAAATGACGGGAAGGGAAATTATGGTCCAATAGGTGAAAGTAAAGTATTTTGATCCATTTTCAATACGCTCAGGGAAATTGTGTCCCTTTTCTGTAAAATGATCAATACCTTCCTTTCAAAGGAACATGGACACCGTTTTGGTATTGAGCAAAATGGGAAGTTGGACTACTTTTTCAAACAGAGGAAGTAGGATTCAGGAACCTGTTAAATTTTGTTGTGTTCCTAGGATGCCACCTAATATTCAGTTTTGTTCTGTTTTGGGGCTAGCTTTACACTCCACCCATTTGAACATCAAGGGTGTGTTTGGTTTGAAGGAAAATATTTTATCATACAAAATATTTCAATTGAAAATGTTCTCCTGCAAAATACATGGCTTTCTTACTTATTTCTTGTGTACTATTTTCTCAAGTGTACTATTATCTCAAAAGTATTTGTGTGTAATATAGAAAAATATTATGGGAGGTGAGGGTGGAAATATAGGGGTAGGGGTAGGGCGCGGTGGGCTACTGAAGTGTGGGGATGAGGTGTGTTTATTGTGGAATGTCACTTCTGGAATTTGTTTTCCCTATTTTTATCAGGAAAGTCATTTTCCTCATTTTAAGGAACTTGCTTTTATTCAGAAACATTTTCCAAAGGTTTTGACCAACCAGACATGGAAATATTGAAAAATTTCCTCCATCCCTAAGCACTCTTCGACCTTGAACTTTAGCTTGACTTCAGCCATGTGAAAATCCATGTTTGATAGTAATGGAAACCCAAAATTAACTGTTCTGCCCTGATTACTTTGCTAGCCTCTCTCAGGTCCCTTAGACCATCCTTTCAGATCCCTTCCCCAGTCTGCTTTTCTCTCCGCCTGCCTTCCCTTCCAGTTGGGCATCTTCCCCCATTCCTACCTTGGTAAAGACACCGTTTCTTTTGTATATATCTGCAGTTCGTACCTTGCAGAACCGTGTTATGTTACACATGGTTAATTATTTTACTTACATTCTTTTGTTTTATGCGTTAAATTTCTTAATTAAAGGAAAATAGCTGCATCTTTTTTTAAAAATAGATTATTGTGTTGTTCTTATAATTGAACTTTCTTATTGACTAAGCAAACAAAATCACAATTCTTTCAACAAATCATCTGGGTTTGATTCTAGAATTTGTAAAAGTTCAATTGCTGTGGTGCTTGAAATTTGACAAAAAGATGTGTCCTTCAAGTATCGCAACTCTTCACTTTTCTATTCTAAGATTGGGATTCAATGTTTTAATGGATGAGGGGTATATTTGGCTCAAAGTACAACGGTAAGGGTGTAATGGCCCAAAAGTATACCGAAGGGCATATTTAAAGTATTTCTGATAGTATAGGGGTAAATATGACCCTTTGCCCCTTTATCTTTTCAAACTAGAGCTAGCTCTGTTTATGGTGCTGACTTGAGTGCTTTGAGGCTGAGATGATTTTGTTGGTCTCATCTAACCTAAACACAAAATATCAAGTTGATACACTATTTCTTACGTTGTGTAATATTTGTGTGATAGGTCAAGAGATGGTTGGGATGATAAATAAATTTAATTGGCCATTGAGTATCTGCCAGCAGAAAGTGTTATTGAATTTGTGCATCTGCAATTGCTTTCTGAAGAGGTAAGAGGTAACCAGTGTGATGCGGTTGTTTCGATCCAGATATCACACAAGTAACATGGGAGTTCTACTTATTCTGAGGGTCTTTATTGTGGCCAAGGGTTGCCTTTGTCTTCTCTCCAGTTACTAGTGGAAAAAATGGCATGCTATATAAACTTATACATGAAATTTATACTAAATAGCCCTATTATACCTTCTCCTGATTTCCTTATTTATGTGTATATATCTCTTTGAAATAATAATTCTGATTTTGAAGAATCTCCCCGCCAACAACACGTGCAATTTCACTTTTGTATTAAAGTCTATGAAAAGTTTGATTCTTATTTAATGTGAAACATCAACTTGATTGAGGCATAACTCTGTAGTACTTTGATGTATACGTTTTCAAATAATGTATATGCAATCAATGGCGGATCCATGTTGCGCATGCTCATTTAGCTACCAATCACAAACTATAAGTGTACAAATTTAGCACTAGCACTTGTCATAAGAAAGACAATCATACATAAATTCAATAAAAATTATTTTGGGGTAAAAAAATGAAGATGACAGTTTTTTTCTATAAAATTTTGTTATGGAATATTCAACAAAAGACAAATTTGTGAGACGAAAAAGAAAAGCATAACCCAAGTAATTTTTTTATTGTACTCTTCATCTTCACCAGTTCCTTTTTATTTGGAAGTTTTGAGTTTTTTTGTTTCAAATAGTCAAATCACAATATCGTTGATTTACGAAACGGAATATCAAAACTATAGAATTGATGGAATACTTTTGAGAGATAATGCAACGTACAATAATCTAGTAGAAGGTTTCTCAACTTTAGGATACATGTATCTCGCTATTAATCGTATATGTATATCAGAGCCTAATTTGTAAAATAGTTACGGAAAAGGGTCAAAAATACCCTTAGACTATTTGAAAAGGTTCAAAAATATCTCTCATCCACCTATTGGGTTAAAATACCCCTCAATTCACTTTTTTGGTCTATTTTTACCCTTAAAACTAACAATCTTTTAAATATGTATATATTATTATTATCACTTATTAGGTGTCAATTTCTTATTGGATAAATTGAATCCAACCTATTTAATGTTTTTCTACCCACTCATTTTAGTGTCCATGACTCAAACTCAATTTAAATATTCATTAAATATTTCTCTGTTCTTATTTAAAAAAATTCAAGACTTTTTCCAGTCAAATGTTACAATTTTCAGCGCAAAACAATTTCGTGTGTGCTGTTTTTGCACTGATGTGAAGAAAATCTTACTTGAAATTATATTTAGTTTGCAAAAAACTAAAAAAAAAACAATCTAGATCTCTCTAAGTGCAATTAACTCAGAAGAACTCCAAACTTCAATCGTTCACCAAGTATTTATACTTCGCAGCTAGGTGGACGTAAATCCATAAGTTAATAGGAAATTTGGACAGGCTAATTGATCTACATTTGCATGGTCTCAAAAGGCTTATGGGTCTTTTGCTAAAATCTCTTAAATTAGGAGTTAATTTTCAATATAAACACTACGAATTGCCCTCGGAGATATGCGGAATGTACTTGCATGAGTATGAAATAATGGTTGTACCTATTGAAAAGCTAAGACATAGAAATTTTGAATAGGGCATTTTTTCGAAATTCCGTCATTTGCAATACAAATTTGATAAGCAATTTTGATAAAGGAACTTATCAGATTCATACGAATATAAGAAGTATAGTACTGAAAATTGCATCATTTGACTGAAAATCATTTTGAAAGTATTGGATAATAAAAGAAGAAAGAAGAAAGAGACTTAGAGTTAGAGGGAGAAAAAATCAATCAATCAATTTATTTTTGGAAAAATTAGTAAATTAGTCAAAATAAATAACATATTTAGTAAAAATATCCATACTTTATAAATATTAGCAATAATGTCAAAAATGTCATTATTTTAAAAAAAATTATGTGTCCCAATTTTCTTCCTATTTTATCTCTCTTTTTCAATTAATTCTATATATCTTTTTTTTTAAAAAAAAATCATTCTCTCTCATATTTATCTTTTCAAATTGTAATTTTTTTTCTCTCTCATGGTTATCTTTTCTGATTTTCCTCCAACATTCAAGTTGCAAATATTTTTTTGCCATATATTTTGGTTGTTTTTTAATCCAAAATTGAATCAACAAAAATCTCTTTGATTAAGGTATCTCTAATCTTTATCCTATTTTCAGATTTCTTTTCTAATTTTATTTTTGTTTAAATTTTAAAAAAATGTTGTTTGTATTTTGTAATTTCCGTTATGATTTACTCTCCAATGGCTGAATCCAAGAGGTTTACTAGAGGTATTCATCTTAATCAACCAATTTCTGGTGATTTTTCATCCTTTAATTTATTTATTACTTAACAAATAGTGTATAATGTATGATCCGCTGCTAAAATGAGGGAAGAAAGAGGATAAGAACATTTACAAGACTCATTGGTGTGCAAAACCTTCCTCAAATTTAGAACGGAAATGTGGAATCTTTGTCTACTCGTGAAGATCTTGAAAAAGACGACGAAGATCGGATAGTTGTCGAACAATTTTCTATTAGTTTGTTTTGTATTTATAGTTCTTTTTTAGAATTTGGTATGCTTTCTTAATTTGTATTCAAATCACTATGTATACTATCAATATTTGTATTTATTAAAAATTTCATGTTGCATGGTTTATGAATCTTGTATTTGTCCCTAATTTGTATTCATCCAAATGTATGTCAACTAGTTATGTATTTTATTTATAAGAAGAACAACTTTCTATTAGTTTATTTATATTCGAATACAAATACAAATAATAGACATATTGGAATGAATACGACTTAGAAAAGGAAACAAGATTTTGAAAAGAAAAATAAATACACAATGAAAAATATATACGAATACAAATGTATTGATTAAATAGCTACATTTTATTCGACATACATATTGGAATGAATACAAACTAATAAAGGTATGTCAACTGAATTTGACATTTTTTTCTAATTTGTATTTATTATAAAGGTATGTCAACTAGTTATGTATTTTATTTAAGAATGAATACACCAAATATTCAATTATTTCTTTTCAAATTTTATATTTCATTCACTTTTTCATCTTACTAATTTTTTGTATTTTATATATTATTATACAAAATTCTAAATAAAAACTAGAATAAATAGAAATACAAATAAAATACATATTGAAATGAATACATATAAGATTTTTGAAGAAGAAAAAACTATATAGGGAAAAAATATATGAAAATAAAAATATATTTCTTAAATGACTATATAGATAAATTCGGCATTCCTATTGGAATGAATACAAACTAATAAAAAACTATAATAAATATAAATAGAATATATTGTGGAATGAATATAATTTTAAAAAGGTAAAAATTTTGGAGAAAAGAAACAAAATTTAAATTTTATTTGAAATTGTAACTGATGAGAAAATTAAGGATGCTTGCCTTTTTTGAAATATTCCCCCCTTAATTTTCTCCTTTTTGTTATTAAATAATTATATTCTTTAAATAAAAATAAATAATAAAAACATAAATAAGGTACATAACAAACTAAATGACATTTTTACTAAATATTGAAATTGTTGCTAATGAGTCCTCTTAAATGCTAAAATATTGACATTTTGAAAAATTTTCCTTTATTTTTTTAATGGGTCCTCTAAAGAGTTTAGGTCATGGACACTAAAATGGGTGGGTAGAAAAAATGGATTGGGGTTCAATTTGTTCAATAAGAAATTGACACCTAATAAGTGATAATAATAATATATACATATTTACAAAATTGTTAGTTTTAAGGGTATAAATAGACCAAATAGGTGGATTGAGGGGTATTTTTAATCCAATAGGTGGATTGAGGGGTATTTTATTCCAATAGGTGGATGAGGGGTAGTTTTGAACCTTTTCATATATTATAAGGGTATTTCTGGCCCCTTTCCCTTTTATACAATCAAACCTTAGAGAAACATGAACTTTATCTCACATACATGAATTGGACGTAAATAAAAAAAATTATGATTATCAAGATTTAATTTTGTATTTCGGACATGCAAACAAGTATTGAGAGGATTAAGAAAGAAGTATTTGAGAGGATTAAGAAAGGAAGATGATAAAGATGTTTAAAGATGGTGGGGGTGGGGGTGAGAGAACCAAAAGTTAATTGAATTGGGGGAGGGGAAGGACAGAGGTGAGGAAAAAGAATTTGAATTGATATAATTAACTAAGGATTTTAAATTTTAACATAATTATTCAATATCATATTTAAGGAATTTGTGGATCTGATTAAGTATTTTAAAATATATGGTATAAATATTAAAAGTGGTATTGTGTGTAATCATAGTACTAAAGTATGTCTAATTGAGTAGTTTTTTCAGAATTAATCAACATAGGAAGAGGAAAAAATAAACAATAAGTAATGCCCCTAGGGGGAATCGATGTCTGACATACAATCAAGATACGACCTTGAACGTCCACCTATAACCATCAGACCAACCAAACCATTTGTTTCATGGATCCTCACCTTTAAATTTTATGCGATTCTTCTTGGGGAAACTTGCATAAATGTGTTATAATAAAAAAATATTTACCATTTATAGCAATACCATTTTTTTCACTTGATCATTTTCAATTCATTTATAATACAAGTTTAATACATATTACAAAGAACAATTTATTATTCACATATAATACAAGTTTTAATGATGGATAATACATTTATGCATTTTAATACACTTATAATACAATGTCACCATTTTTTACCAAACAAACACAATATATTTCATAAACAATTATAATTCAAATATATTGCATAAATAATTCACTTTTAATACATATTATAGATTTATCACAATATTGCTATAAATGGTAATAAACAAAAAGTAAGTAATTATTTTTTAAAATGTATTAATTCATGTAATTTTTCCTTCTTCTTAATTTCTACATAAATATATAGTTCAATACGAAATTAATGGGTAGTCGAGCACCCGAAAGGTACAGGTGGATTCGCCCTAGTATGTAATGAGTATTATGTATACATATTTGGTTGTATATGCAAAATTGATTATATGTATCAAAATTTACTGAAAGAAGTAATATATCTATCATTAATTGCACAATATATTTATGTATACTAATAATATTATGTACAAAATGTATGTAGTATATACATATGACATTTATCATGTCACAATCAATCTATACAATAAATTTGAATGAAATAAAAAAAGTATACATTAAATTTTCAACACGTTAAATAAATGTATACAATGATAATTTGTAATATAGTTTAATGTGTGTGTGTGCATATATATATATATATATATATATATATATATATATATATATATATATATATA